GGATCCATTCACATCTGCTCACAGGGGGCTTAAGAAGATGTGGCATTCAACTTCACAACCCTCGTCCCCTCCCACTCGGCTCATATGCTGCCTCGCACTTCCAAGGGAAGAGCATAGGTTGGAGGGGTGGTCTGTGTGTATTCTGGTCCCATGGCTTGTAGGCTTTGGGGTAGATAGGGTACCCATTTTCCCACTTTGCCTCTTGTGTGTAAATCTGTGACGTGCCCCCTATCTCACCCAAGGAGAATAATAGACGTTTCGTTACCAAAAGAGATGCTGCTGGTGCTCGAAAGATTAATGCACTTTTTTTTTTTTTAAGAGCAAGCAGGGGAGGGCAGAGGGAGAGAGAAAATCTTAAGCAGGCTCCACGCTCAGCACAGAACCCAACATGGGGCTCAGTCTCACAAACCGTAAGATCATGACCTGAGCTGAATCCAGAGTCCAATGCTCAACAAATTGAGCCACCCAGGTGCCCCAAGATTAACCCTTCTTGAAGAGTTTGTTTTCTAATCTATCAAAGATTCTTATGGAGGAGCTGAGAGCCTTTGGAGTTGGTTATGGGTTGGAAAATCTTATCAAGTTGGGATTTAACTTTTGTTAGGGTAAAGGTGGAACAGTGTGCAAAGCTCTATATAGAAGGTGTGGTATCAGGTTGGTTCCTGAGGGAGACATCAACCCCCTGGAGTGCTCGGGTGGGACGGCCTCCCCTGTAGGCCACAAGACCCTGGTCCCCTATATCAAACAGCTACCAGCTGAGTGTCTGCAGTTTTCCCTTTCCACCAGGATGTTCTGCTGCTCAGTCAGTTCATCCGGCCTTGCGGGGGCATGCTGCCTCGAAGGATCACAGGCTTGTGCCAGGAAGAGCACCGCAAGATTGAGGAGTGTGTGAAGATGGCACACCGGGCAGGTAGAATGCCCTCTCGGGGCTAAGAGGGGCAGAGGGCTATAGGTGCCATCCCCCCGATCCCACCCCTCGCTGGCCACCCCATGTTCCAGCCCCTCCTGGAAGAGAAATGGACATCCAGAGTCTTCATTATACCCGCCACCTGGTGCCAACTTCCTGCCCCCCTGGGCTTTCCCTCTAGCACCCGAGAGCTGCAAAGGGAGCTACAAGACCATCCCACATGTGCTCTTGCTTCCACTCAGGTCTGTTCCCAAATCACAGGCCTCGGCTTCCTGAAGGATTTGTTCCGAAGAGCAAACCCCAGCTCAATCGGTAAGCAAACCTGGGTGTCAGCACCAGGAGCATTTGGCAGGCCCTCTGCTCTCACTGTATTCCACTGGGGAAGCCATTTACTGGAGCTCGTCCCACAGCTCTGAAAGCTAGAGGGCTGCTTGGCTGTCCGTTCCATCCCTCCCAGCATGAGCACCCACCGCCGCTGCGGTTGATGCCGTGCACACTTCTGTGAGCCTCCCCTGCTGGCCTCAGCCTCTCTCCTCTTCCCTCCCCAGCTGGGCACTTAGCATAGGGGCAAAGAGGGTAAGAAGGTCTGCTGGTTGGGCATTAGAATGTGCTAATCCCCTGTTTATGACATCATACTGAGTTGCTATGGGAATGTCAGAGCACTTCTACAAACTTCGGTATCCCAGCACTAGGGTTACTAAAGGGCAAAATGAGGCCTTAGAAATGGGAGGGCTCTTTGGGGTAGGGCCACTGTGCACGTCCTACACTACAGAGCTTTAGCATCCACATAGACCAGATTTGCAAATGGCGCTCCCTAGAGTCCTGCAGTTAACCTGCAAGGCTGTTCATGGCAGCCTGGGAGGTCCTGAGCTTATGTAGAGGAGAGGAAGGCCCCTAGATCCTGGAATCAGTCAGTCTGCCTTTCAGCCTAAGCAGGGTGGCCCCTTCTGGTATAGAAACACATTCCTGTCTCACACTCCCAGACAGCTCCTTTACCATACTCATGTCTTCCTAGATCTGTAATACCCCCTTGTTGAGAGTAGATCTGGGTTTATAAAGTTGATTTTGGTCTTCCTTCTTGTCCCCCCCCCCCCCCCCCCCCCCCCCCATCAGCAGCCCCTGCCCTCCGCAGTCTGTCCAGCTGCTACTATAACTGCTGTCTGTAGGGGACCAAAGATGGTTGAAGCAGAGCAAGACACCGCACCCACAGCGAACCTCTAAGGCTGATCCCCAACAAAATGGCAGACACAGAGGGTGGGAGGCCAGGCAGCGGACCGGGGGTGCAGGGCCAGAGCTGGGTCTTCACTGACACCTCACCAGCACCCTGGCCCCATGCCCATCTCCACCTGTACCTCCCACGTTGCTAGCTGTGTCATTTGCCCGCAGCCCTGGGGTAGCAGATCATATTAACCTCTTCCTGCCTTTCCTGGACCATTTGGGGGTTGAGCCTACCCTCCCTTCTGACTTGTAAAGAGACAGCAGCCGGCCTGAGGACACAATCCATCCTGCCCTCAGGCCTTTGAAGCAAGGCCAGGCTCCCTCCCATATATCCGGTGTCCTTTAACGTGACACGGGATTGATGATGTGTGGGGGCTCTTGAGTTGCAAAAGGCCACTCTGGGGGGGTGGGGGGGAAGTCCTGACTACGAGGGAGTTTGATTCCCTTGCAAGGGACTTTATGATTCCATCCAGAGGTCCTTGAGCTGTCATATACTGGCCCAGGCTCTGCTGGGCCCTGGGGAGCTATACTTCCCTCTTCCCTGGCCCCTTCAGGAGAGATAGAAAGGAGCCTCAGTTCTTCCTAGAGCTGGAGTGTTCCCCAGAGAGCTAACTGGAGGCCACCTAGGCACTCCCCCCTGCCAGCTGGCTGTTCCATGTGGCACAGGCATCAGGCCCAGAGCTAGCCAAAGCCCGGCTTACCGCTGGTCTCTCCAGGGCAGGGGGAAAACGGCCTTAGGGTAGCAGCTCTGAAGAACCCGGTCAGCCTCAAGATATTCTGGGGTCCTTGATCCCAATGAGCATTCCTTTTGGGGAGCCTGTTCCCATACTACATCTCTTCACCCCTTCTGAAAACTGGGAGATGGCAGCTCGGGGACCTCCCGGGTGTTCCCCTCCCTTTACCTTTACTCTTCTGCTGTCCCAGCACCACCAGCCATAGACAGGCCATCCCTGGGCCCCACCTACTACACAAAAGTCTCCCTGATGGGGGCACTGACATTGACAGTATACTGGAGAGCCCTTCCCTCCCTGCCCATACTTGGAGTGTAGGCCAGCACTTCCCACAGCTTTTTACTTCCTCTCAGAGCTGATCCCTTTGCACGAGGCTAAGAGCAGGAAACCAAGGTCCGGGGGAGTTCAGCTGAAATGTATAAATCAGCAATCTTTTTTTTTTTTTTTTTTTCCAGTTTTATCCAAAAATTTTCAACCAAGGTGATTAATTTTTTTTAATGAAAAAGTTTCTCATATGAGGGTCTCTAGAGGTGGCTGGGTTGAGCCCCAGCTTCGAGTGGAGGCAGGGGAGGAGCCTGGCTTTGCCATAGCTGAGCTTTCAGGACGAAGGGTGGGCCTCTCTGGACAAGATCCAGGTTTCATTCTGGATGGAGTAAACCCCAGTCCTAGCCGGCATGAGCCACTTTTCCGGGAACTGTCAGGGCCCTGGCCATCCCCAAAGGAGGCCAAAGGACTGTGGGCGGCAGCCATCTTTCCCCACCCCCCTCCTGCTTACAGGAACCTTCCTGGGCTAGGTCTGTGCCACAGGCCCTCACCCTTGGCTCCCATCATGGGTTGGGTGAGGGGCAAGGGTCCTACACCAGTATGGCTGCCCAGGGGAGCTCCCGGAAGGCTGGGTTGGCAGAGGGAGCCAAGTGGGGAAGAGGGAAGGATTCCTCCAGGCCTTACATCAGCCTCTCCTCTCCCCATGACTGAGGCCAGAGAGGAATGATCTGCTCTCTGGGCAACCTCTTCCCCCGCCTCCTCCCCCAGCAAGTATACACACAAACACTGACAACTCATAAAGATCAAGGGAGCGCGTGGCCCTGGGCTGCCTGACCCTGGCCACACACACTTGAGGCAGCAAGAGCCCAGCCCATCTGTTTACGGCACACTCAGTCATTGCTCCCAGGAAAAGCCCCTGCTCCTCAAGAAGAGAAACTGGTGAAAGGCTCTGGCCTGAGGAGACAGTACCCATTCTCCCAGCTCTAGCATGGGCCACTGCCCTCACAGCCACCTCCCTACCCTCCCTCCACAGGTACCTGACCCGCTGGTCTCCCCGCTCCGTCAAGCCCATCTATAATAAAGGCCGCCGCTGGAACAAAGTGCGCATGGCTGTGGGGTCACCCCTCCTGAAAGACAACATCTCCTACTCAAGAAAGCCTTTGGTGCTGTATCACTGACGGGGCAGAGCTTCCTGAGAACGTGACCAGAGCTCCTATACTCTGGCCCAGCTCCTCCAATGGGCACGGCAGGCACAGGAGGCAATGGACCAACTTCAGTGCCCTCACCCTGCCTGGTGACAGCACTGGGAGGGTGGCGGGGTCCCTGAGCAGCAGTTGTGGTCCTATAACTGGCAGTTCTCCCAAAAAAGAATATCATAAACCAGGCTCATGGACTCCACCGCTGGTTATGTGTGCTCACTGCCTGGGAAGTGCAAGGGCCTTGAGCCCATTTCTAGCCAGTTACCAAACGTTGAGTCACTAATCCCTTGTGATAGGCCAAGATGGTTCCCTAGCCCTGTGTTGACCGCCTTCAGCTCTTCACCCTGCAGGGCTTCGAGGAAATAAGTTGAGCTGCCTTCCTCGGAAGGCTCCTGGCTGTCCCCTCCCCTCCCCCACTCCCAGCAGTTTCCACCCACCATCATCTCTCCATCTCTCTCTCCTCTCCTCTCCTCTCCTCTCTCTCTCTCTCTCTCTCTCTCTCTCTCTCTCTCCCCCCCTCCCTCGTTGGCACATTCCAGCCCTCTGCCACTTGCTCCAGAGCTGGGTCTCCCAGCGCAGTGGCCTCTCCTCAGAGCCTGGCCACCAGATGAAGGTGGAGGTGGGGAGAAGCAGCAAAACAGAACAGACAGAGCAAATCCACTGCAATTTATGAAAATAATGTTCAGACTCTACATAAACCCTCCAGGCTGACACCCCTGCCCCCCCTAGAGCATGAAGGGGAGGTCTATGTTCTTCTCACCGGTACCGACATAGATGTAGCCACAGTTCTTGGTGCGGGGAGCATGGAAGAAGGTGAGGCCTGGCCAGAGCAGGCTGCGCAGCACCACCAGTGCGTTGCCCCTCTCCATCTGGATGCTCCAGGACCCTGGAAAGAAGCGGGCAGGAGGGGAGACCTTGGATGCCATGGAGCCAGAGCCCTACCCTGTGTGCAAAGGCCCTCAGTTCCTAGGCAGCCTGGCCTGGGTGCTAAGGTTCCGCTGGGAAAAGGGAAGACAATTTAATTATCTGGCGCTTTCCTCCTCCTGATTGCCTTTTAGCCATTTTGCCGCTCATTAAAACCACTTCCAGAGGGAGGGCAAAGGAAATGAAAAGAGGTGAAGCACACCCTAGTCCATTTTGTTCCTGTCAGCAAGTCTAGTTAAAGGTTGAGTGGGGGAGGAAGTGGAGTCTGCAGGCCGGGGAGATGGGGCCCAGCTCGGGGAGGCTTTCCCAGGCTTCCTCGCCCTATTTGAGAGGTAGTCACCAGTGGCCTGCAGTCCTGGTGCAGTCTGTCCTCTTAGCCACTTTGCTTTCTCTTCCGCAGCCCCAGAAGCCTCTGCTCCGGGACGGATTAGACCTGACCGGGGACGCACAGAAGTTGGGCTGTTTCGGGCCTCCCAGCTCAATAGCCCTTCCTGGCAGCTGGGAGCCTGGGAGCCATGCTTGGCAGGAGGGGACTTGGGCTGCAGCTGATGAGCCTTTGTGTGTGCTGGGTTCTGCCCTGGATTTTTGCTCCCCAGACAGAAGCGGCCCAGCCCGGGGCTGAGTTGTGCAGCCATGAGGACTTGGCGGGAAGGGCCTGATCCAGCTCCAGAACCAAGGGAGGGAGCCCCTGTGTGGGAGGAAGGAGCCTGGGAAAATCGCCTCTGGATGCAGATCTGGAGCTTCTATTCCCCTGCGCACTGAGGCCTCTCCCCGGCCCAGCCACAGCTCTGCTCCGGGCCCTGCCAGAAAGGCAAATGCTTTGAAGGTTTTGGTGTTGGACCAGCCAGTGATGCACTGAGAGCTGCGCTGAGGCCTTCATCGGCTGCCAGCTCAGCCCGGCTGCTTGGCTCCCACCACCCCAGCTTCCCACAGGCCTCCTCCAGCCACGGCCCACCCTGGTCACTCCACACCCAACAGCCTCACGGCTCAGTCCGCACCCACCAGGGGCCACCCTGCGTCTGAGAGACCTGGCCACCGGGAGCCCCTGGGCCCAACGGCGGCTCAACCCCGCTCAGGGGGCCATCACCTTCCCCAGGTCAAAGCCAGAGCTTTCCCCGGGTGCATGTAGGTCAGCTGGCACAGGCCTGCTCAGGAGAGGCCACCGGCTCAGAGCCCAGCTGAGCACTGCAGCAGCCTGCGCCAGGTGCCACCGCCCCTTCAGGAGAAGGTGAAGTAGGAGCCACAGTGTGGGCTTCACTCCACTCACCCAAGCCCACACGGTGCTGGCCAGCGGCGTCGAGAAGGAAGAGGGCCCCTGGGTTACCAGCCCCGACTGGGGCACTGGCTGGCCAGAAAAGGGGGTAGTAGTTCCCCCAGCTCCTACAACTTTCCTGTCTGGGCACCTGAGGTTCTCTGCCTCCCAGACCTGCCCTCAGAGTTCGAGAGGCCCTAGCCTGCTGCTTTCCCAGTCACTTATTACAGAAAACAGGTTGCCTGAGGGTAATGAGAGCAAGGGTGTGACAGAACAAAGTGTCCCAGTGCACCGTATTCAGCTTTTGGCCAGAAGCACAGACCGCAGGAAGGTACGTTCCCTAACCACCCCCCCACCCAATCCAGTCACACACAGTACCCAGAGCATCATCTGGGGACAGTCCCTGCCCTTGGAGCCCACAGTCCCACAGCTTTCTTGAGCTGAAAAGGGTCAGGCTCTGCCTCACTTGTCTCTGCCCACCCAGGGGGGCAGCTTACAGCCTGCCTGAGCCAAATGCCCTGGAGAAATGAAATCCTGGAGTCCCCCAGCCTAGACTGCTCTCAGTTCACAGTTGCCAGCCCTTTGACACACCCTGGCAGGGGCCGGCTCCTGACCTTCCCTTGCACAAGGCTGCCCACCTACAGTTTGGCCCCCTACCTCCTGCTCCCCAGTAGATGAAGGGGCCCCACCCCCACCAAGAGCAAGGGGAAAGATGGCAGGGATGCTAGAGAAATGCAGTGCCCCCACTGGGGTAAGGGGGCAGTGCCAAGCAGGCTGCAGGGTGCTGATGGAGAATGGAAGTGGCGTGTGAGGGCCAGGCCAGCCAACAGCACTGCCTCCCTCCCTCCCTTGCATTCCTGTCACACTCCTGTCCTCCTTGTCCCTGGCTCAGCTGGTCGCCCAGGAAACACAGACTCTCAACGTGCCAGGAGTCACGTAGCGTCTACCTGGAGAGCCCGGCACTTGCTGTCACCTTCACCCACTTTTATTGCAAATGCTGGAAAGGCTGGACCCAGCCACTGCCACCATGTCCTCTCAGACTCCAGAGGAAGCAGCCTCCTATGGTCCTGGTCTCTCCCAAGTCCCCAAAACGCGCGTCCTGCTCCCTGGCAGCCAGCCAGTCCTCTACAAGCTGTTTTTTGAGGATGTGTCTGGGGGGCAAGTTAGTAAATCAGGAATGGAGCCTCTTGGCAGGAAGTCCTCCTGGGTTGCCCCAGGGTCAGGGGTCTCACTTTGCTAGTGGAAGCCTCAGTCTAGGGTACGTGTCATAATTACATTCTCCTGCCCTCGTGGAAAAAAGGGTAGCAAAGCTCTGAGATTACATTTGAGGGGGAGAGTGGGCCAGACTAGGGAACAGGGCTCTCCAGCCACAGCAGATGGTTTTAAACTTTCTCCTCAAATCAGCCCCACGCTTCTCACACACACAGAAATAGCCATGGGTCCCTTTTCTCAGAGCAGCCGCCCCCCCCCCCCCCCCCCCCCCCCACACACACCAGGGCCACAAGTTATGGGCGAGCCCCCTGGTCCAGAAGCACCCGTCAGCCAGGCTTCCAAGGGACTGGGTGGAAGGAGCCACCTGCACACACACCCCCAAGAGAAAGCTGATCTGGGCACTGGGTTCCTCACCTGTCTGCAGCATTCCTGACTCCTGTCCCCTGCCTCCTCCCCAACCAAGGCCACATTTGAAAGGTAGTTCTCCTGGCAGGCAGGCATCTTGCTGCCCTCTGCTGCCTGAACTGGGCGTTGCTGCCTGGCTCACCGGTGCTGGAGCCCAAGCGGTCCCGCACCTGGCAGTTTCCTGAGATCTGTGGGCTCCAGCCTTCAAGTGGGGTAAGGAGAGGAGCCCTGCTCCCCAGGGCACCGGTGACCTTTTGTGTGAGGCACCTTCTATTTTACATTTTCACTACCCATCCAGTTTCATTTGATCTTTCAAAACTCTGCGAGGCAAAGACGGTGTCGTCTTGGTCACGACGGCATCCTGCAGCCTGGCACACGGCACCTGCTCAGTGGCTATCTGCTCAGTGAAAGGTTAAGGAGCACTGAACGGCAGAGTGCTGCCGAGAAGTCTGGCCTGACCTGGTGCTCCATCTGTCCCACCTGACTGCAGCCCAAGTTCCGAGAACTCTCGGCTGCTGCCCTTCACGCACAAGGAGGAAGGCTGCCCCCAAAGCTACCCACTCCCACAAAACTCTGCAGACCCCAGGGCACAGCAGGACAGCCAGGGAGGGTAGTGGTGGCACCAGGCAACGTCCCTCCCTCCCCATCCTCTCTTCAGCCAGGGCTTGCCCAGGAACAAGCTGCTGAGCTGGCCCTACCTCCACAGGCACAGAGAGCAGGAGTCCTGGGGACAGGCCCAACCTAAACCATACCTGCTAACAGGTGACAGAGTCCCCTAAATAGTCACCTCAGTCCCAGAAAGGAAACTGATCCTACCTGGGCAGAAAGCGACTGCCCAAATCCATTCCTCCAGCCAGTGCTGACGTCCCAGGGAAGAACTCCTGGGCCCCACTTAGCAGCCAGGCCCTGTGGCCACTATCTGCTTTGCAGACAGCCTCCCAGCACCCTCTCCTCCCTCCCTGGCAGGTAAGGGAGTCTGGGAGCAAAATCAGAGTGTCTGATTTTCCCCTGGCCCCCCACACTTCTACCCCCCACACCATGGGCCCCTTTCTAAGCTCCGGGAGGTTTGACTCGGGTACCCCCGTGTGGCAGCGGCCAGAGTGGCCATTCCTTGCTGGCAGCCCTTACCCACTTGGGACCATCACTGGCCCCTGGGGTGCTTCAGTAGCCATGAAATGGCCTCCAGATCCTTGTGTGGCCCTATTTCATCCCTCCATGCACCAGTGCCTTATTGTCACAGACCTGTTCACGAGCTGCTGGCAGCTCCTGCTGCCTTGCCCTAGGCCTCCTACCCCTTGGCCTTCTCAATCCTCCCTGGCCTGCCCCAACTCCCCTCTAAGGCCTTTTTGCTGCTCAAAATAGCACTAATAGAATTCCTGATTTTCATTTGAGTCCCTACTGTGTGTGAGGCACTGCTATAAGCATTTTGTGTGCGCACTAACTCAGTTCTCACGACAACCCAATGAGGTAGAAAAGGTCAGTATTCCCTTGGGGGAATGAGGAAATGGAGGCACGGGGAGACCGAGGAGCTTGCCCAAGGTTACACAGCGAGTAAGTGGCAGATTCGGAATCCCAGCCCAGAGCCCTTGCCTCTGCCATCCCACTCTCACCCTGACTGGGAGTGGCCGTGGCTCCTCAGAAGTGTTTCCCCTGTGTGGTGGGCGTGGGTGTTGTCCTGCTGTTCCCACTACCCGCTTAGAAGGAAACACTAATCTGCTTGACACCACAGTTCATGCCAGAGGCCTGGAGTCTAAGGCTCTAACATTTGCTGTGTCGTGGACTTTAGCCCTGTTTCTTCACCTGTAAAATGGGGATAACAACGGTCTCTACCTCCCAGGTTGGCTGTGACGATAAGGGATGGAGAGGGCTGAGTGTAACGCCTGGCACACAAGTAGTGCCGTTGCTTTTATGCAAAGTCATTACTATCCTTATCGCTGTCCCTAGCGTTGCCATCATCAACAGCAGGTCCCTCCGGTTGGAGAAACACCAAACACGGGGAGGAAAAGAGGCAGGGGTGCTGCATCAGCACCTTGAGTCTGGCCCCCAGTTGCCCAGAGCCTGGCAACTGTCTTGGGCTAGGGCATCCGAGCAAGAGCGTCTTCCCAGGGCTTGTGAAGCTCAGAGGAAGGAAATGGGGTCTCTGTGACCCCATCCCCCAAACTCTGGGTGTGTGCCTGGGCCAGGTGGGCCCTGAAGAACAGGAAGACCTCGGAGGCTGCACGTCTTAAGATTAAAAAGTACCACACACATAGCAGGAAGCAAATGTACAGAACTCATTTCCTTAGCAGGTGGTTTGCCCTTCGGTCGGTCAGCAGCCACTCACGGAGCACCAGCTATGTGACAAGCACCGGATCTAACCGCAAAACTTACAACGGAGATGGATGTGTGGCTGGTATTTTCAGGGATCTTTTCAGAGATGGTTGGGGGAGGATTCTCAACCTGCCTCCTTCAAGACCAATAATGGAAATCAGAAGAGGCAACGAGGGACTTCCTTTCTGTGGAAGACAGTACTTCCTTTTGTCTGCAGACACGTACCGTCTGTTTATTATGAGCTGAGCCTGTATTGGGCCCTGGGGAAGCCCCCACCCTCAAGGACCTCCAGTGAGCCACCCGTTCCCACTCAGGCCCTTGGTTCCAATCTCAGAGGAGAATGGCAGATAGCATGGCCCACTGCTCTGACCTGGGGGCGGACCCAATGTCCTCAAGGCTATTACCTTTGGGGATGTCATGCTCTAAGGAGTCCATGAAGTCCAGGGAGGGATCCAGGTCAGCCTTCTCAAGCAAGGTCTTGTTCTTCAGCTGAACAGGCTCCCTGAAGTGGAAGTAGGAACTGAGCTTCTTGGCTTCAGACAAGGAGAGTCCTAAAAGAAGGTGGTATGGTCAGCCCCAAACCACACAGCACCCCCTTTCTCCACGCACAGGGACCACATGGAGGGGCCTGCAAACGACTCAGTCAGAGACTGACCGAGAACTAAAGGGAGAAAAAGGAGTAGTGTTCTGTCAGCCAAAGCTTGGCCCAGGCCCTGCAATGAGGAGAGATCAAGGAGGAAGAAGGTGGGAAAGGCAGGGAGCCCAGACCCACGCAAAGCCTGGGACCCAGGTAGGAGAACCCTCAGGCAGAAAAGAGTGGGGTCCAGTGACTGGGCAGCCCATGCCAACCACCGATGCCAGGCCATTGGGCACATCTTTCCAAGTGATATGGCCAGAGCTGTTCTTTCTCTGAGGAAGTGAACAGTTTCCCCAGAATTCTCAGAATGTATCCGACTATGCTTGGAAAGAGATGCTTTCCTGCCCTTGAGAGGGGCCCTGGAGAACTCACCTTCAAAAGTCCGATTGACATGGATAGGTCCAAAAGGGGTCTTAAAAAGGGCTCCTCGGGGGATGATAGCCACAGCCTTGTCAATCTGGTCGATGATAGACACCAAGCGGGTCTCTTCCTTGATCTGGACCTAAGGAGACGGGATGAGCCATCCTGCCAGAGTACTGTGCCCACTCACCACTGGTGCAAAGGCCCTCTGTATGACCATCTGACCTGGGTCACCACAGTGTAATGCCAACTCCATGGAAAATCATGCTGGGCAAGCCCTCGCCTTCCCTCCGCTCAAGATTTTCTTCCGTTCTTCCTTCCTTCCTTCCCTCCCTCCCTCCCTCTTTTTTAAATTGTTAATACAGACTGGTCGTGCAATATTCAAAACTACTATAAAAAAGTAGTCTCTCTTGCCCCATCCCTAGCCCCCCAACTGCCTTCACTGGAGACAACCACCATTAACAGCTTCTTATATTCTCTTCCAGAAACATATCATATTTAAATGTTCTTATTTTGCCTTTTTAAAATACAAAAGCAATCATGCTTGTTGTAGAATATTAGGTAACATAGAAATCACTTATTAAATACTTAAAGGAGGGGTGCCTGACTGGCTCAGTCGTTAACCAGCCAACTCTTGGTTTCTTTTGGCTCAGTTCATGATCTTGTGGTTCATGAGTTCAAGCCCCACATCAGACTCTGGGCTGATGGTGCAGAGCCTGCTTGGGATTCTCTCTCTCCCTCTCTCTGTGCCCCTCCCAACTCTCTCTCTCTTCTCTCTCTCAAAATAATAAACTTT